GTTTTATTACACTGAAGCAAGAAAGGAGATTGTGTGGAATCCAATTAAAGATTTCAGCACACCTGAGTCTCACTCACGACCTTTTTATTTTCCTGTCCTGTCATGGTGGAAGAAGACCGAGGGAGAGTGTTATTTTTATATCATTGTATTATTTCAATCATAATGCTTTCATTCTTTTCAATCGTCATTCAAAAAAGATGAGATGCTGCGTAAAATGTAAATAACATTATTGTTTTAAATATTTATGTTGTATTTTTAAGTTAAACTTGTGCAAAAACATCAAATGTTAAAGATTCAGAGAATCCAGAGAAATCTTTGTTTGTAATAGTGCAATAATGCTGTTATTAATGACTTTAACCCACACTGCAATAATAAAGCTAAAGCAGTTTTGTGCTGTAGTGTCAATTCTTGGGCTCAGAAGCACTTACCACTGTATCTTACCATGCATTTTAAAATCATGAACTTTAGCATTAAAAATAAAGGGAACTACTGGATTGTTGTGACCACAGAGTTCAAAATTCAGAATTGGTGTGCGTTAGTGCACATGCATCATTAATGATGAACAATGTATACGAGCATGCTGCCATTCTCAATATATTCTATTTTAGTACTGGTCTGTCTGCAGCATCCAGTCCTGTCAATCATTGTAAACAAATTGATTTTATGGAGCAAATAATGTAACAATGGAGGACCGAAACTGAGAAGGTGAAACCCAGTAATAAGCAAAAAAAACTTTGCATTTGGTATCTAAGGTTCACTAACATGTCATCTCATTAGATACCTCATAACACAGTTATATGTTACATTCTTGCCTAGACTTTATTTTTTATTTTGCTGGCTCCAAATTTAAGTCACTTCAACTGGATCCTGTACCAGCTGCCATAGGATGAGAGGCAGGGTGCACCCTGGACAAGTATTCAGTCTGTCACAGACATCTCTCCGGACTCACACTGACACATAAGTCAAAGGGGAGTGGGAAAGAACCCACACAAGCGTGGAGAGAACAGGCAAACTCCACACAGAAAGGCCCTAGTTGGCTGGTGGATTTCAATTCATGACCCTCTTGCTGTGAGGCAATAGGGCTAACCACTGTACCACTGTGCAGAGTCCTTTTACTTTTCCTAATGCGCTATTTGGCATAAAGGACTCGTAAATCATTGTAATATACAGCTTTACTAAAAGTATTGTGTGACACATATAAAAATAGAGTATATAAAGTTGCATTGGTGTAGCACGCAAAAGATGCTACTTATGTGTGCAACTGCACACACAGATTAACCTCTGTGCATTTCTAGTTTGGGGATGTTTTCCATGACTTTGACCAGTTAAGAGAACTAATGATCTACTGATATTGTTACTAATAAATTAAATTTGAGCATTATTTTATTAGAAATGGTTACAATTGCTTTTTATATACAACACAGTGTGACAGTAGGAAGCTTGCAAAATACCAGAAAAAAGTGGAGCATTTAGAGCGCTGTCAGTGCTTTGAGGATGACTTGGGACTCAGAGCTAGGCTTCATGGTTCAACCCTCTGGTGGCTGAAAGTGGGAAAATCCCTCCAGGTAGATTTGGGAAGGTTTTCCACAATATTCAAGAGAGTCGAGGCTATAGTAATGCCCTTTGTTCCCAGTCTTTCAAATAAATTATATATATATATATATATATATATATATATATATATATATATATATATATATATAAAATACAGTATTAATAAAATATTTTTTGGGGGGAGTGGGTATGTAGGTGTTCTTCAATAAAAGACCAGTATCATGGTACTTCACAGCATGCCTCTGTGCACTTTTTAAAAAAATAATAATAATACCGTATACACTAAACTCCATGATGTGCTTAGCCTGGCTCTCTCAATAAAATTCAACTCTCTTTTACCTCAAACCTCACCTTGCCACTTTTTTTTCCTTCTCATTTTCTCCCTCCCACCGCCTCAGCGAGCAGGTGCACAGTGACAGAGTCACTGAGCTGTGAAATCTCTGCTCCTTGAGACACATTTCATGCCCCTCCCATCCAAATGCGCACAGAGCCCCGCACACTCACACATTATGTTGTTTTTGTCCTATTTTCCAGCCCATCCTTTTCTCCGTCTCTCCTCTCGCGTGTTTCTCTCACTGCCTGCGGAAAGACTGAGGCAACAATGTGAGATCTTTATTAATTTTACTCTGTGGATAAAAAGAGGAATCAAACTGCAGAGCAGTGAAAAATGTTTGCAGAGTTTCAATTAGGCAGCAACATATTTGCGTGCATTGCTATGCTTGTCTGTGTGCGAGTGTTCCCTGTGTCTCTCCTGCATATGTCTCTGACCACATCTACATCTTTAATGTCTGAGACTGAATAATGTATGAACCTCCTGGCCTTTGAAACACACACACACACACACACCTCTTTTGCAGCTTCCTATTGCACAAATTTCATAAAGCACAAAGGAATGGCAAGCCATGAAAAATACAAATAAAATAAAATGTCATAACCAAGATTAAATCACTTTTTGTTGATCAACAGTTCAGAGTAGACCAACACTTCCTGCTCCTACAACCACCATGGTTTTTTCTACTATTTTTCTACTTCCTGTTTACATGTTGCAAACTTCCTGTTGGAACAAACACAGAGTGCACTTCAAACATTTTCTTTGGGTTGTCTACATCTAGTTGTACTTATGCGGTTGACCATTTATCTTCCAAGTTGTGCACGGCCGCATGGTGCACTCTTGTGTGTCTTCCCGATGCAGTCATGCATGCCTCATAGTTCTAATTTGACTTTCAGATGTCGGTACTCTGTCATCCTTTTCACATGCCCACACACACTCTCCTGTAGATGTGAAGCTGAGGTCAAGGTTGGTTTCTACAGCAACTGTGCATTATAATGCCATGACCCACCTGACCACCAGGACTCTCTCCTCTCAGACTGGTAATAATCGGCTTTAACTTGGTCATCCATAAGTGGTTACAAGGCTTTTGCTCTTTGCGTCAGGTTGACAAATTAAAGGTAATATCTGGATAAACACATCCTCACTGTGTCACTGGACGGTATATGGAGGAAGAAAATGAAGTGATATTCTTAATTTTTGAAAAATTAAGAATATCACTTCTGAAAAACTGTGTTTCATCTTCCAGAATGTGGGAGGGCATGGTGTTGGAGTGGTTAACGGGGTTTTCTCACCTCAAGAAGGGTTTGAAGCTGCTGGTCAGCTGAAGCCTCTCAGCGTGACGTTTGAGTGTGTGTGTGTGTGTGTCCTGTGGTTTAGATAAATAGGTTGATTGGGTTTTCTAAATTGGCTACTTTTGTAGATATATGAGTGTTTGGTTGCCCGTCTCTCTGTGATGCCATTATGATGGACTGGCGATGAGCCAAAGGTAACACTGGAATAACTGTCAGTTAAATAATGTATATATTATTATAAACAATATTGCTTCAGTCATTTCAGTCACATGGAGCATTTCTCAAAGAGCCATCCTGCAGAGGATAGTTAACTCAACAACTGTATAGTTTGTTGCTGGTTCCTTTTGTCCCTTTAAATGTGCCACCCATCAGGCTACTTTCAGCTGCTCCCGTGTCACAAAGGTTCACCACAGCAGGATGCCCCTCCTCACACAATCCCTGGAAGTGAACCAGCAACCTTTCTCTTGTCAAGCTAATGTGTTAACCACTACACTATGGAGGCAAGGTATGAGCCATCATATAGCTGTAAACCATAACAATAAAGCCACAATGTGGTCCTGAGATGTTCTTTGAAAACCAAAAGTACTGCCCCACACAGAGAGCCACTGTGAGGAAGATCTTGGACTTTGCATGTTCAAAATTGGGGTTAACCTAACAGAGAGTGGCTCCACCCATACCCACAGATTATGCAGAGTGGTTCATTTGGGGGAATTTCTGACCTTTCAGCTGACCTTGGAGTGAAACTCTCTCACACATCACTCCTGGGCAAACAGCACTGATGAGACTGATTTATTTGGGAGAAAACACTTTTCTCTTTTTCTTTGAATTCATTTTTGATCATATTTTAATTCGAATAATTACTTTTATTATCCTTTTTACAAAATATAAAATGTCTCTGCAACCTTCCTTTATGATTAGATTACTTAACGCACACTGTAAATGAAATCTGTATTTTAACAGGATTTTAATTTTAAAAAATTTACAGAATGTTCCCATTATTTTAAATACATGGAATATCAATATAATTACCTAAATTAGTCTGTGAGTTAACTTGTCTAATGTAAAATAACATGAAAAAATTGTGCCTAATAAACATGATTTTTGCATATTTTTTTAAAAGAAAATTTATTTCTTTTTACAACCAAAAAAACACAGTCACAATTTTACTAAAATTTCACATATATTACTTTAAAAAAAAAGAAGAAAAAAGATTGTTGTTAAATTCTCCTTTTATCTCGTGCTATTAGCCTAATATTAATCCCATTAATATACAGCACCAGATAGAGTTTACGCTCATACATGACATTTTCTGAAAAATACAGTTTTACTTTATTAAATTAGGGTTTTTTAAAGACATGTTTGGGATTTCATTTTTAAAACTCTTTGTGGGAACAACTGAATATGAATATTATAATCTACCTTTTTAAAAGCCATCATTACCCTTTAAAAACATGCAAAGCGAAGTTTGCGGTAGGCCTTATTTGACTGCTGGAACAGTCCAAATCAGAACTGCACATGAACTGCTCTTCCCAAGAGATCTTTTTTTAAATGTGTTTGTTTTTACCTCCTTTTTTGTATTTAATTGAAAAAGTATACAAGAAAATGTACATCATAGATACTGACAGTAATTTATGGTTGGAGTGCGAATTACAATAGATTCTTGCACAAAACTGTAAATACTGAAGACCAGCGCTACAGTTTTCGTAAGCGGTAATCACTGGAAATCGCTTTAGCTGATAGCAGCACCACATCCAACAATCAGGAGCGTCTGCTACGCGCGGATACAAAAAAACAGAAAAAGACACAGAGCTCGTGCACGCATCCGAGCGCGTTCCCGTTTTCTGCTGCGCACAGACAGCCGGTGCGGAGAGACGGTGAGGGAGGAGAGGCTGCTATTACTAGTGACAGGAACGGCAGCGAGCACATACAGTCTGGAGAGCAGCTGATGCGACAAGGTAGGAAAAAACCACCAGAAAGCTCCGTGTTGATATTTACCGAGCTGACGCTCAGCGTTCGTCGCAGATGCGACGCAGATTGAACTGCTTCTGTTTCAGCGCGATTGCGGTGTCCTACAGCCGGACCCAATGTCCTCTCTCTATCTGTGTGTGCTGTTGTGTGTCCGCAGATGCTGAGCGTCGCCTTGCTGTGTGTGTGCGCCGTCGCCTTTGGACACGTCTCCGCTCGCTCCGAGAGCGGCAATTTTCTGGATGATAAGTGGCTCACGGGGAAATGGGATAAATTCAGAGATGTAAGTAACATTTCAGGCTTATATTATTATCGCCCCCACCACCCCAACTCCACATTATCTCATTTACGCCCCGCTCCAGCCCCCCTCTTTTCTCTCCCTCTAGCCACCCTCATTGGTTTGTGATCACGCGCTCCTCGTTTTGTCGTTGTGTCCAAGCGCCGCGTCACGGGGCCCGTTGTGCCGTTTGTCACACGTTCATCAGCCGCTCCGCTGAGACAGTAAATACACTAATAGCGATGCTGGGATGATCCTTGCCTGTGAGTGTGTTTCCGCGATAGCAGTCCCTGCTTAGCAGAGATAGCCGAGGCCTGTGCGAATCACAAAGGCGCAGAGCAGTCTGTGAGGCACCACAGAGTCCCCCCAAAAAGGGGCCTAATTATAATAAGCAGGTATGAGGAGAGAGTCAGCAGCAGCAAGGCCTAGATGAACAATGTAGAGCGAGTCCACTTTAAACCCACACACCGTGGGTCCCTGTGGGAATATTAAAGGAATATAACGCGATGTGTTGTGCGCCTTTTGGTCTCCTCTTTTAACAGCTTCTTAACTAGCTGACTTCAAGAAGGTGCTGTCAGCCACGATTAACCTGACGTGGGTATTTAGGGCCACTTAGTGAAGTTAATGCCGCCACTGATTGTCATGGCACATACCAGTAGCCTCTGACCATGTGGTCCTGCTGCCAGGCTGCATGCATATGTCCCATAAACAACTGTCATTCTTTACAGTAATGGAAATACTTTTTTTTTTACCTTGAGCAATACTTAAAGATTTTTTAGCTTGTAATTAAAGGCATAACATCTGTATTATACAGATAAAAAACTGGAAATAGTCCAATAGAGTTTAGGTGGTGTGTATTTGCTAAAAAAAAACACGTCTTCCCTCTAGGCACAGATTAAATGGCTCCACACCAGGACTGATTTGTGCAGGCTTGAACTTGTTCTCACTCACAAGATGAGATATATGAAAATAAGCATGTCTGCACATAACAGTCTTTATGTACTGTACCTCAGTGACTGAAAAACAAACAGATTTAACATGATAGAAAAAATGTACTCCAGCTCTGAGTGGTTTTACCACACTGCTGAACAAATGCACTGGGAATTGTTACCTGAAGGTCCTTGACGTGTTTGATATCCGACAGAGAGGCAGAGCAACAAAAGCGCAAGTGAAATGTATTTATTTATTTATTTTTTAAAGCTAAGAGAAAGTGCTGTTTTTTATACACGGCTTTCTATGTAACTTGTACTTATTTGTCTCACTTTCTCTGCCAGTCACACTTGTGTGAGATCCCATCAGCTCAGGTGGAGCCATGTGATACATTCAGGTCCAACTATTGAACAGGATTTGGATTATCCAAATAGAGTGTCAGAACCAAGAAGAGAGGAAATGTGATTAACTGCGCACCGTGTGCTATTTAGGATGATCTGACATCCTGAGCTACAAGAAGGCGGTAGAAAGAAAGTTAGCAGAGCTTTGTTACTGTGTTAATGCATAAGAATTGATAGATAGATGGACAGATAGACAGGTGAGAAGAAGCGGCAGAGTAATGAGAGTGGAAAGGAAACATGAAAGCATGTAGAATGATTGTCGGTGAGCTGAAAGCTTCGTGTGCATTCACATCTGTGTGATTTAACCTTGAGGCTCAGCAGGCATTAGAGTTAGAGGTGGAGTGCAAAAGTACTGAATGCTCTGTATATACATGTGTGCCTTTCATTTCCCGTTTTAAGGTTGTGTCCCAAATTGTCTGTCTGTGTGGTTTTGTTGTTTGTTTTTTTTCTTTTTTGCACTGTTGCACGCAGTAATGTATCTGTGCATTTTATAAAGCAGCTATGTTCAATCTATTCATCTTTCCTTTCGGATATTTTGTATGCATTTCAACACTGTGGTTGAAATCCAACAATCCAAATATAGGTCCATTAAAATCGAAGTTTTTAAAAAAAGAAATAAAATCATATTCAGTGCACCTATCTGGAACTAGATGAAACACATGTGTTGTTAGGCTTGCTGTGTTTGTAGATCATTAACACCTGTGCAGTGCTTCTGGAGTCTAATTTCCGATTCTGTTTCTGTGCTAATGATGATGCACTATAGTTAGAGGTGATGGAAATTTGACTGATATAGTCATGCATTAAGGAACACAATCACTTCAGCAGCGTCACGCTGCTGTCACATACTGTGTGCACTCGCTGTACAGAGGTTAGAGCTCGAGGGGCCAGCAAGCAGCACAGGAAAGCTGCAACCGACTGTCACAAGACATCGAGCACAACTTGTGAATACATATGAACTTTGTTTTGGAGACATGGCCTACATAATGTTTCTATACAGGAAGTGGTTACATCAGCTTTTTTTTAAAGTTGGGGTTTCCCCTGCAGGGATTCAAAGACTATTTAATTAAAGTCATGTGATTGCAATGCATGAAGTTGTCTTTTAACTGTTCCATAGCTGTCAAAGATTCACAAAGGACCACAAATGAAAAAATATTCCCATAAGACTTTGTCAAATGACCAAATAGCAGGCTAGGTTATCTTAAACATTTTCTCTAACTTTAAATGTTGTGAGTGTTACAAATCCTTGTGTGCATCTGCAGTTACGCAAAAGCCACCCCGCGTTTCTTTACATTGTGCTACCAAGGATCCAGGCTTTCTTGGTTTTGGTTTTTTTAATGGTCTTGACTAATAGTTCTTCAGTCTTTCTGGTCTTTCAAAGTTTTTCATTGGACATTGGCTGCTTTTTCACTCATTTTCAACCTAGTCCCTGTAACTGTAAAATGTTTATATTTTATTTGTTAGTTTGTTTGTTAACACTGACCTATGAGTCAATCAATTATACAAAAAAGCACCTAACTCGAGGTTTGAGCCAGTTGTATCTACAAAGCAAACGACTTAGCAAAGAACCGATTTTCAATTGTATGTTTAAGCACTTTGTTAGTAGCAGCCTGTCGTAAAAACAGGGAATTTGCTCCTGTTTCTTTAGTTGAATTTATGAAAAATGCCAAAGATAACTTACAGATATAAAATTGTATTTTTGCACCAACAAGGTGAATTCCAAAGAGACACTAGCCGACAACTTGGTGTGTCACAACAGGTGTGCAGTGTGTACTTAAATAAATTTGAGGAAACTGTGGAAGACAAATGAAGACGTGGCAAGCCTTAAAAAGAATCTACAGCAGATGAACAGTATCTAAAAGTTATGAGAGATACATCTGGCCCTGCAGTTGATCCATCTGTGTGGGATCATCTTGAAAAATAAAGCTGGTCATACCACACAATGACTTTCAAGCACGTTAGAATTGTACAAATTATTTTTCCTTTTCACTTGTAAGTTTACCTATTTCAGTAAATCTCTGCACCAATTTCCATAAAAATGAAAGGTGATAAGAGGTGGCTGAAGTTAATAGCAATAAAAACAAATGGAACAAAGTTGAAAATAGTTTAAAACAAATTAAAAGCTAAAAAGGATTTTTTTTTTAAATAGTGAAACATACACAGTTCTTCCACCAGTGCACTGGGATTCTGTGCACAACTTTTTTTTCCTGTGATTTTCATTTTATATGTCAGGCCTGTATTTTTTAAAATTTTTTTTATTGTTTTTACATCTTTCAGCAAGAGCCATAAGTGGGTTTCATGCTAAGTGCACTATATGGGATTTTGGCCACTGGTTAACTGTTAAGTCCTGTTAGGGTGGCTGTGGAGGCCTGGGGCTGTCTTATTCAGCACTGGTGCCATCTCAGTTTTTAGATATTCTGCTTCTCTTGCTGGACCTTGGCCTGCTTGCAGCACTGGCACAGAGCAAAGAGACTGTTAACAATTGGAGGAAAAACACGATGAGTGATGCGTGATGACATTCACGCCAATTTATTGTGCGGTATATTATAGGAGGAAAATAACATCCTGTGTAGGCCACTCTCATAAGAGCAGATTATACCTTTTTGTAGTCGCTCCTGTCTCTGTGTTTTCTCTGTGTGTGTGTGTGTGTGTGTGTGTGTGTGTGTGTGTGTGTGTGTGTGTGTGTGTGTGTGTGTGTGTGTGTGTGTGTGTGTGTGTGTGTGTGTGTGAGAGAGAGTCCTACACTGTTTGTGTTGTGGAGTGTGAATGATGTAGGAAAGGTACAGAGCTTCAGGCGTTTTCCGCTTCAAAGCACCTCAGTGTAGATTTGTATGTGTTTGCGAGTGCATGCATGCGACAAGCTTGAGCAAGACGAGCAGAGCTGGCACAGTGAAAAAAATTTACATATTTCTCCTGTTAGACATCAGAAGGAAGGTAACAAGGACAGGAAAGGAGGTCATTAGGATGCAATTAGAAGCACCGAAATCAGATCTGGGAAAATGTGAAGTAAAGGTGAGAAAAGCGGTTGTCGGAAGCAAGATAGTCACTAGGAAATGTTTCTACAGGCATCCGGATAAAACCGCATCAAATCGATACCCACAGCAGCAAATTAGGGTATTAGCCACACACTGTTGTGTTTGCATGATTTGGTGCACATGAGGAAAAAAAGGCTGTTAGAACCATGAGGGAGAGCAAAGAATAGAGGTGGAAACAAATGGAGAGATAAATTGAAAAGTTGCCATTTTCGAGCACACTCAGGAGACCTTTAGGTCTATTGTTGAATTTTAGGTTTTCTGTGTTTTTTAGGAAAGTGGGTGGCGGGTTGCATGTGCACTGAAGTGCATTCTTCCAGTTATTTGATGTTTTGTAGTGCTGACAGATTCTGACACTGCAGTCAGGGCTGTGGTGATAAGTATGTTTGTTTGCAGAGCTGTCTGTGCATGGACGTGCGCTCATGTGTGCGTGTGTGTGAGTCCGTGCTTGTGTGCGTGCGTCTGTTGATTCCATTAAGGAATCAGACCGCAAGCACTTTTGTTGTCTTGACTGGTCCAGAGGGCCTGGCCCTATAATGCAATGTTCTCATTATTCAGTCTCCACAGTTTGCACTGCTGGAAGGGGCACATCCTGAACAGAAACAAATACCTCACTATATGGCTTCATCTCTGCTCTGTGTGTTTTCCTAATGCTAAGGAAGACCTCAGATTGTGTGTGTAACTCTAAGCAAGAGAAGCAGATGCTCACCTTTACCACAGCGTTTTTTATTATTATTTGAAGCTAGAGACACACGATGTGAAGAGTACCAAAGAGTCTGTAGTGAAGGTCAGAAGGATTAACAATAAAGGACAAGATGGAGAAATTAATTAGAGCTAAGAAAGAGCAAGAGTTGACCCTATTCCGCCACACAGCAGGCAAGGAAGCGAGACACAGGGAGACACTCTTGACAGTTGAAGTTGTGTTTTTTCATAATGGGGATGTTGGGGTAAACAGCTTCAGTTCAACAGTGTAAATAATTCTACATCATTGTCACTTATAGACTACAAAAAAAAGTAAAATAGAAGCATTTGCTTTGCCTTCATACATTTAGTATAATTGGTTTAAGTCAAGATACAACATTTAGTCATATACTGCAGGTCAGCAACTCTGTCGCTGTGAGCAGTTCTTTCATTGGTCCAAATACAAGCAAGCAAGCAAGCAATTTATTTATATAGCGCTTTCAGATCAGCCACCAGCTGAACACAAAGTGCTGTACACTTGACATGCCAAACATGATACATTGAGCATGTTAAAAAAATGAGAAAAATAGTAATAATAATATAAGATAAGTAAAACATATATATATAAAAAACACACACACATTTAAAACAATAAAATCAGCACATTAGATTAAAACAATAAAATCAGGGTCAGACTGTGTCATAAGCCAAAGGGTAAAAATGAGTTTTAAGACGTGTTTTAAAAGTGGACAGTGAAGGGGCCTCTCTAATAGAATAGAATAGAATAGAATAGAATAGAATAGCCTTTATTGTCATTGTACAGAGTACAACAAAATTGGAGTGCCACTCCCTTGGTGCAAGTTTCAATAATAAATATAAATGTAAAATATAAAAAGTACAAAAAAAACAATCGTAAGTACTCAAACAATAGTATGTACAATATATACAGGATAGCAGCATTAATATAATGACAGTATGAATAGCAGCATAATATAATGACATATATGATATAATGTGCTGGGAAAGATTGTTCCACAGATTAGGAGCAGCAATAGAGAAGGCCCTGTCCCCTCTGAGCTTTCTCTTGGACCTGGGTACCTCCAGGAGCAGCTTGTCAGCTGACCTGAGAGACCTGGGTGAGTAAGGATGCAGAAGCTCAGAGAGGTAAGTTGGGGCAAGACCATTTAAACATTTAAACACAAACATGAGAATTTTAAAATGAACTCTAAGATATACAGGCAGCCAATGGAGTGAAGCCAGGACGGGAGTTATGTGCTCTCTTTTACGAGTTCTGGTTAAAAGTCGTGCAGCAGAATTTTGGACCAGCTGCAGACGAGAGAGAAGATGCTGACTAACTCCACAATATAGTGCATTACAGTAATTTAAACGACATGAAATAAAAGCATGGATTACCGTTTCAAGATGCGGCCTGGATAAAATAGGTCTTATCTTTGCCAAGCGCCTTAGATGATAAAAACTGGACTTGACAGTACCCCTAATTTGACTATCTAATTTAAAATCACTGTCCATCTTAAAACCCAGGTTTGTAACAACAGATACAAGCCGTCTGCAGTACTGTGTGCTATGATTGCTAAAAATCTTAAACAAAACTTAAGATAATCTTAAGTGAATCTATACAAGTGAACTGGAGTAAGATGTTAGAAAAACAGTGCAAACTTGTCAAGCACATCCAAAGTAGATAATTTGGAATAGCACACTGCAGTACTTCATATTTGTAAAAGTACACTCATATTCCCAAACGTCCTGCCATGCCAGAGCTGTAAAGCTCAACTTGGCTGTCTTCTTCTTCTTCTTCTTCTTTTTAAACTTCCTTTCATCTTCATTTAAGTTTTTAACGTGTGTTTGGTGGAGCACATTTGTCTTTGCTGTTGTGTAGTTTCTCACTGTGGCCCAAGCAATAACTGCTTCATAACTGTAGTTACTCTGGCCTTCCGCTGTCATTGCTTTTTCACAATTCATCTCTCGCCCGTCCAAACCACTGCACCACATCGCATTTCTCCATGTACAAAGTGATGTATGGCCAAAATATATCACAGCAGCACAATTAATCTGCTCTGTACGAGGGAGAACGCGAGGAAACTGTGTCCATAGAAATCAGAGGCCACTAAAAAAAATGTTTCTTTGAAGCCATACACTCATACCTAAACTTATTTATGTATTCTAAGTGAAATTATGAGTAATAGAAGTAAAGACACATGGCTTGTTATTTTCGTTTTCATTCATGTATTAATGTGCAGCAGACTGATGCGCGAGCTAGTTCACATTCATAATGTCTAATACTGCAAACGTCATGCTGTAACTTCTTCTAGAGAGACACTTAGCAAACCCATTTCAGAAAAGTGGCCTCCAATCACAGTCACATGCTGAAGAGTACTGCACAAAGCAAGCACGGCTTCACTGTTTTGCATTTGAGTACGCAGAGGAAGGTCGTCATTAAGGAAGGCATCTCCATCAGTACTGTGGGAGTTTTTCACTTTGTGCTTTTAGACTTCAGCTTTTGAAATCTGTGGGATGGGTTTTTTCTGTTTGTCCAGCTGTGGCCACAACAGCACAGGGTCAGGGTTTTTTCCAGAAGCAACTTCTGTTTTCCAAGTTAAAAATTTGACATTATGGGGGGTTTTGGGGGGCAGAGGTTTTTCCTACTTTGGAAGTCAAGTTGAGCCCATTGATGTATGAGGCGCTCTCATAGGTCCTGGGACAGTTTCTGATGTATTCACAGGTGGTTTTGTCATTCTTGTGTTGTGGTTCTGCTTTAAATGACTCCAGTCATAAATAGAACATGAACGACTTCCTAATCATTCCTCATCCCATATTTAGAGAAGAAGAAGAGCCTAAGGAACTCCACAGAACTGAACCATCAGTGCATGATTTATGAATTTCCAACTACAATTTATCACTAAATTCACAAGGAGAGTTTTTGGTCTTTGTGCATTGTAGTTGTGCTGAAATGAGTCGTTCTTATAAGATCTTTAAACTATCTTTCTGATCTGTGGCATGGAGGTCAGTGGTTGCTTTTTAGACTTTAGAGTCATTCGAAAAAAGGACTTGGGTGAATAATTGGATTTGAAATTGTCTCTGTGTTTTCAGCTGCATTGCCATTATGTTTAAAACACAAATCCCTTGTCATAATTGTATTTTGTCATTAAAACTCTGAAATTAGCTCTAACTGCTAACAGTAAATTTAGTTTCATTTGTTGCTTTTGTTCTTTCTGGAAAGTTTGTAGTTTGTAATGATTGCACTGGAAACTCTAAATATGACAGTTTTATAAATGAGTTGTGTTTTTTGATTACTGTATGCAAACATCATGTATGACTAAAAGGTTCAGTGCTAGTACACACATATGAGAAAAAACATTAATCTTTTGGATTTTTGGTTTATTCCTTGTAACGGATGTAATCTCCAGTAATGTGTGTGAGTGTGACTGAACGTGGACGATAAACACAACAGAAAGCAGGCAGGTGAGACGACAACAACGGGTTACCATTGTGACAGAATCCGAGAGACCGCGGTGCGGTGTTGGGTTTGAATGGATGCCCAGAGACAGAGGGAGAGACCAGACAGTGAGATCTTTGACCTCAGCAAAACAACACAGAGCTCACAAGTTCTTAAGCTCCTTTTACATTTGCATCATAAGCCAGCGCCCGCTGGGTGTGTCTCCATCTTGGCCTTCTATTAAAAGCTGGCAAATTGCTCACCTCTGCGAATTCCTTTTTTAGACTGTGGGAACATTTTCACAGGCAATGAACCGACTCATTCAACTACACCGAGGAAGATTTTAATAGAGCAGAGCATTTTGTAGGATGTTAAATATAAAAATGAATCACAAAAAACTTATATTTTCGGGTTATATATTTTTATCTCTGTAAGGCTTCTCCTTATGCAGAGAACATAAAAAAGATCTCTTAGTTTGCAAATTTTTATAGAGGTGCTCTTATGATACCACAATTTAGCTTATTTGTTAATCATCCTTTTTATTTCAATCATATCCAGTTACTAACAGCAATTTTACACAACTTAAATGGTGCAAAGCTTCACCAGCTGCACCACTATTGCACTGTCGTGTAGAAGCATGTGTTGCATGAAACAAATTTCTCTTTTCAGTGATATGAAGAAGTATAAAGCACATGCACTGACACACAGTGAGACAAGGACATCTTTTATCCACGGAGAGCTACTTTCATAACATCGATATTATCGTGACAAAATCAAAGCATGCTCAATGATACCGGATGACACTGTATGCTTGTGTGTGTGTGTCTCCAAGTGCTAAACCTAATCAGAATTAATTCCTGCCTCTCTGTTTCCGTAATGCTTTCTCATAAAGGAAGTTGAGGTTTGTATGACTCTTTAATCTGTAGTCTGTGTACGGTGATCATGTGTAGTGAAATATTTGCTTAATATGTGATCTGAGCAGTATTTTCATGATATGTTTCAGGAGCCTGGAACATGGACTCCATCCAAGCCCTTTGATCAAGGTGGGTGTGATTGAGAAAGAGTCAGAACTGAAGTGGCTGTGTTAGTCCTAAAATAATCAAAATAAGAGCACGGAATAGTCATAGCTATATATTTACAACTTGGCCCATGTGTTCTTTGTGATTAGGAAATATAGGAGGTAATGTCAGGCAGGTTAAGCTTGTAGAGACTCATTTGATGAACATTTAGCATCTTCGTCAGTCTGCAGACATATGGTCAGATTTGCTAAATGTGATCAAAATAACACGTGAGTGCAATCCCAAATACAAAAGTTGTGCTGTTTCCTAAACACAGGCACATTCAGTTCACTTCGATATGAAGTGCAAAAAATAACACAAGAATAAAAACATTCCACATTAAATGTTGATGCAATTAGAAGTAAATTGTGTGTCACAAAAGTTAGTAAATCAGGTTTTGTACTTGATTTAAAATATCTTCCTATATTTTTGCACCTTGAGAAAAGAACTTCTAGAAATACATATGCAACACAGACAGTCGCAAAAAGTTCGCACGTCTAACACACACGATCGTGTCACTGCACCTTCTTTTTAAAGTGCATTAGTAAGTCGGACCCTTGATGTATGCATCGATCTGCAGACGTAGTGTAATATGAACAGTTAAAGCAGGAAAAAAAAGATTAATACACTTTCAACAGTTTCCTGTTCTTATAGAAGTTGTCACTCTGTTTGGCATCCACCAGCTTGTTGTGCAGGTTGATACAAGCCATGCTCATATCCAGTGTATAAATATCATCATGGTGGCTCTTTCTTATAAAACGAGATTTTGAAGGTTTTACTTGTAAGCCATCCCCAATTATTTTAACCTCAGCACCCAGCTGAAAAAAACAGGATGATTTCCTGTTCTTTTATCTTCTAATGTCCCATTGTATTACTGACAGTGCTAAGCTCTTACACACATCGAGGCACGTCAGGACATGAACTCTCACTTATCGCTGTATCCTCAAACGCATCCACACACACAGACATGTCAGGCAAACAATAGCATTAGATAGTGTGTTGGTGGGTGGAGGCAGGATAATCTTCCAAAGCTGCTCAGGGATTACAGTAAGGTTCTTTAGAGCAAAGGTCATTCACAGACTGTTCTGGGAACAGCTAAGGGCCTTAGGTTTTGCTCATAGGTGACTCGCTGAAAGCTGACACAGGGTCAGAAGCAGCTAGCTTGTCTTTACTGGCAGGGATCATACCGTCTGCTTCAGATTCAGATCCAAAATCAGCCCCCACCTTTAGTGCCATATGCCTCTCTGCCTGTGTGATCTGACAGTAAATCAGTTTGAGGATCTCCACAAGAGCACACATATAAATGACACTCAACGGATGCTGATGTAAGATCAGAAGTAGCTTCTAAAACCATTTCCATCTGTTTTTAGCTGCAAGGATACTTAACGGCATTATGGCTCTGAGTTTAGTGTGGGAGACACGTGGCCAGTGTACTCTGTGAATAAATACCGACTCAAATAAACACACGCAAATGCACTTCAGCTTTAAACAACTTTTCACGTCACTGAGATGTGAAAGTGAAAAGAAGCACTTCGTTTAACTATGAACCATTGATCTAGATTTTGAAACAACAAAAAGGAAAAGCTAACCGTTGCTCGTAGTATTACGAATTATTGGAAACTGTAAATAGAGAGGCTATAAATGTTGCATACACATGTTAAAAAGCATGTTTGTGTATGTCTCTTCTGTATTTTTAGGCCTTGATCCAGCCAAAGACCCTTGTCTGAAAATCAAATGCAGTCGCCACAAGGTGTGTGTGGCTGAGGATTTTAAGACTGCCACTTGTGTCAGCCAGAGGCGAGTTAGGTAAGAGTGTACACACACACACACGCTTGATATTTTAACAAGCCTGTGTGTCCAGCTGCCCCTTATTTTTCTTTTCAGATGTTTCTGTTATGAAGTGGAACATGAATGAGAGAGAATTTTGGAAAAAAATAAAAGCAGAGTTTTGTGTTTTGCTTTTTTTTTTGTTTGTTCTTTTAATGTATGGGGCATAATAAGTAGCAGCACCAGAGGGGCTGCTGTTCTCCTTCTCTTCCAGCTGGTTTACTGGTTTTCCAGTCTCTCTTGCGACTGTTGTGTGACATTACAGTTTGGTCCAATTACCCGCAGCACTGGTGCTTTCTTACAATGGACCCAAAGTCCTGCCAAGTGATATGAATGGGCTTTGTACGTGTGTGTGTTTTTCTGTCTAGGACACTGCAGACTGGGCAGAGGACAGTAACATCATACTGACCCCATTTCCCATTCTTAGCAACAACACAATTCCCACTACAGTGTGCAAGCAAATCAGAAAATAATCACACACAAATCCTAAATCCTCGTCTCATTTTTTTGAACAAGACAATCCAGCAGAGATCCAAAATGCTTAGAAAAGATTTAGATTTAAAGGAAACTGGGAGGGTGGGCCCGACGAGGCACTGTGATGAAGGCATCATTGTTAAATGGGACTTCATTTGACATGTTTTAACACTCAGATATTCAGTGATTGTGAAAAACAACAAGTCTTTTCAATCTTCTCTCCAGCTTTAAAGATGCCAATCTGTACCAGAGTCCAGGGTCAAAGTGCACACCGTGCCCCGTGGTTCACCCCTCGCCTGTATGTGGAAGTGATGGCCACACCTACTCCACCAAGGTGCCTGCACACACAAACACATAATCTAATCACCTCTCACCCATAAGTCGCACTTTTTTCATTTCCCCCTGATGAGACATGCATCCTGATTCTGCTTCCTCTTCTGCCTCGTCCCTTCTGTCTCTGTCGCTCTCAATCAGTGTAAGTTAGACTACCAAGCATGCATCACGGGAAAGAAGATTACTGTGAAGTGCCCTGGCATGTGTCCTTGTCCCTCTCAGCTTGAACAGAGCTCCGCAGAGAAGAAAGGTACACAGTTTTGCACACTTGAATGCACACGCTGCAAGCCTGGGTGGGGTTTGCCACGGTGTTCAGCCCCATCTTTATTATAAAACTCCTGCCCTGGTGAAGGGTCGTTGCGATAGCAAATTGCTTAGAGTTTCTGTGCCATAGCTGACTCTTAACTCCTGGTGTCCATGAGGAGGCAGGAGGACATTAAAGTGTCACTTTCCTGTCATTAATCTTTAGTGTCACTATTCTGCAGTGTGCAGCGAGTCGGAGCTGAAGGAGGTGGTGAGCCGCCTGAGAGACTGGTTCAGAGTGCTGCATGAGAATGGCAACCACAAGAGGGTCAAGATCCAGAAGCCAGAGAAGAACAGTGAGTAGGCTGGCTTTAGTGACACACTCAGTCATAAACAAAAACTCTTAATATAGCCACCCACTCTCTTTGATCTCCCCCCACCCACAGAGTTTGAAGTTGGGACATCAGCTATTTGTAAGGACCCCCTGGGTTGGATGTTCTCCCGGCTGGACACTAACTTTGACCTACAGCTGGACCAATCAGAGATCAGGAGCCTCTATCTGGACAGGAATGAGCCCTGCTCAGATGCTTTCTTCAAATCTTGCGATATAAACGCAGACAAATTTATAACCAGCTCTGAGTGGTGCACAGGCTTCCAGAGGTACACAGGTAAGGACACACCTGTTTTCTTTACTGTAACACTGTTTGCACTGAATAATGTGCTGAGATCTTAGTGGAAGAAACACAAGGACCCAGTCATATTAGTTTGCCGAGATTTATTTGGAAAAGACATTTACATTAAATTAGTAAAATGATGACCTCAGCTGTCCGCTATTGCAAACATGGTAAAGATTCAATTTGGTGTTCATGCTCACTTTTTCTTTACAGAGACAAATTATTAGCAACCTTTGAAATGCATTTTAAATTTTACCACCTAAATAAAGTGGTTTATATTATTTAACCTAGCCGTTTGCTTATGAACCTGCCTGATGGACTGATTTGTGATGTCTGTCCTGCTGCGTCTTTATCGCTTTAATGTAGCAGTTTTACTTTGCTATTCAGTCTCTTCTGTCACTTTAGCAAGCCATAATCAACTGAAATTGTGCAAAGGTTTGAAAACAAGATCTAAGTTTTCAGTCTCAAACTTCTACAGATATAATAATAAGAGAGACCTTGTATTCAGTCGCAGCAGCCTTTTTTTCTCAGCACTGGATATTATTGTAGTCTGTACAGCACAATAAAATGCAAAACAGTGTCATACAAAAAAAATGCATGAAAAACACATTTGTATGAAACCAGGGATGAAAACTTGTTTTGGGGTAATAAAGGGAGACTATTTACCCACGAGTCACAGGAGGTACACAAACAAGCATCGATATGAAAGCACAAAAGCAGACAAAGGAAGGAAGATTTACGCATTCCCAGAAAAGCAGACTTCTGCAGTCTGTCAACAGTGTGTCCCTTGTCGGTCTCTTTCAGATTCCCCATGCAAAGCAGAGCTGTCCATTATCAACAAAAAGCAAGCAGGCAAGAAGTTACTCGGTGAGACGCACGCAGAATCACAAATACGTGCACAAACGCTGTGCGGCCTGAACTCATGGTGTGTGTTTTGGCTCGCTCCTGTAGGTCAGTATTTGCCATCTTGTGATGAGGAAGGTTACTATCGGACCCACCAGTGTCACAGCAGCAGCGGCCAGTGCTGGTGTGTGGATCGCTATGGCAACGAGGTGGCTGGCTCACGCACTCATGGCCCTGCAGACTGCGGTAGGCAAGACATCCAAGCGTGTCAAGTGTGTGTGTTTAAGAAAATGAGAGACACACAGCATGATGAGAAAAATTAAGGGAGAGGAAATAAATCACAGATATCAATGTAAGCTCATGAAGCCTGTCATCTGTTTCTGTTCATCAATTTGCTGGAGGCTGGATAAGAAGATCGTTGCCACTGCCATAGTATTTAGCTACATCCACCAGCTAGGTAGTTTAGCTTAGCACAGCAACTGAAAAGAGGGGAAACCTAGCGAGTGCAGCTCTTTCAATGGCAACAAAATCCCGAAGCTCGATTTTTCTCACCTAAGCTTATCTCCACACTATTGCTTTAAGTGTAAGGCCAAATGAAATCTGTTTTGGGCAGTCATGGTGATATCTTTGGCTTTGACTCCAAATGTGTGGCTGCATCACACAGGGAGAGAGGTTCTGGTCCATAATATTATGGTGCAGGCAAAGATAGTCCACTGAACCAAATTTCTATCAGAGTCAGTGGAATACATTCACTATGTGACTGTAAATAACAGACAGAAGTAGCCATAGTGAGGTCACACATTGGTTAATGAGTGTTTTTGCTCTCACAGTAATAGCTTTTTGAAGCCAGACAACTCGAGCACAGGGCAGCTCTGTCTGCAGCTAATCAGATTAATTGTGAACATGTCAGTCACACAATTGGGTATAAAAAGAGGATCTTAAAGAGGCGTAGTTTCTTGGAAGTAAACATAGGCAGATGTTCACTCAAAAAATGCTTAAGAACTGATGCAGCATTGCAAAGAATAGTGGTATAAAATTCTTCCACAAAGATGTGAGAGACAAAGTCATACAGAAAGCATTTACTTTAAGTTACTGTTGCTAAAGGTAGTTCTACAAGCTGCTGAATCACTGGATGTACTTTGTTTTTCTCAGGGGTGCGTAGAGTCCTAGGAAAGCTTTCATTTTCATGACTGTATAGATTACATTTTTCCTATAAAAGTATCAGACTTTATTAGATACAAAACTGGGTTTCCTTCCTGTTTCCAGGTGTGATTTTGGAATCTTCCGGAGACCTTGGCAGTGGAGACTCGCTGTTCACTGATGACGATGAAGACTCGTTTGTCCTCAATGACCAGACCGGTATGGATGATGAGGACATTGAAGATGAGGATGATGATGACGACGACGAATACCTGTCATAAATTTAAAAAACAAGAAAAAAAAGAAAAAAAAAAAGAGAAAACTGTTTGTTTGGTCAAACTGCACGTTTCTAGGTGACTCCCCGGGCAGATACTTAATCGTAATAACAGCCTATGGACTATTCTCTGTGTATTGTTTGTTCATAAGTTAGAAAAAAAAATCAGTATTCCTGGAAAAATGTTTATGATTTCTGTTCCTGTTTAAGTATAAAATATGAGTGGTTCATGGCACTTGTTCACTTGTGTGTCAGCCAACCAGAGAATATTATAAGGACTAATCGATAACCAATCCACTGCGTTGGATTTGGTCACATGTGCAAAGACCTTTCCCTTCATTGGACAGTCCGTGTCCTCCAGTCTGTGTCCTGTCTTTGTGCACCACTCCGATGCCCGAGTGTGTTGATGCCAAAGGCACAATGTTAAAGAGATTCCCCCCCCCCCCCCCCCCCCCCCCCATTCTTCATTCCTCCATCTTCTCCCCTGCACCCACCTCTTTAATCCTTATCAAATGTTCCTGTTGTATAGGTGGGATGTTGATGATGTAGATAAGAGAATATTGCACTCTTTAGGTTTCTTTTGATCTTGATTTGTAACTGTGACTGTAACTGTGTGGAAAAACAAGATAAGAGTTAGACATGCTTCATTAGGAGAATTAAGGCAAAAAATAAAACCAACAAAAAATGCCAGTTGGATAACAATCAGAAGCGACGTGCTAGCTGTTTTCAATGAGACACAAATCAAATGCTCAGCAACAAGGAAAGACAAATTACTATGTGGCCGGTGGTGGTGTTGGTGGGGTATTACTGTTATCTGGTTTCTGATCCACTTTAGGATGAATACAGAAGATGAAGCAGATTTGTCTTAGCATGTCCAATACTGCGTGATGTTGTTTTTATTGAACCCGAGGCCAAACCTTTGAGGAATTCAAAAAAAGTTGTAAAGTGGTTCAGCCACAAATCCATGTAATTAAAACATGTTTATTGACCTTTAATGGGTTGATGAGCACAAAGAAAACTGCTGAAAAATTCTTTAAAAGATAGCGTGCAGTTGATGTTTTTGCATTTTCAGATACGAGTCTCTGACTTAACGTGTTAGCACACAGAGTAACAGAACAAGTCTCCTGCACAGCAGTAACAACGTAGATCCATGCAGGTCTGATGACATGATATGTTGGGCGAAGGTTAAAGGGGAAAGGTGTGCCTTGTAGTGGTGGTCGAAGTCGGGGAAGCATGCTTTCTGGACTGACTTAAACGCACCGTTACACTGCATAAGAGCGGCTTCACTGTTAAGCCTGTATACTACTTGGACTTTGGTCTGGCATGTGTTTTGGGTCTCTCTTATGATGGTGTTACTTAGGCCATACTTCAGATTTTCTGATTTGTTACATAGGATAGCTAGAATGTAGATAAGCACAGAGATGCTTAGCAGTTAAGGCGTAAAAACACTTAGATTCTGCTGGTTTTGAAAATGTTTTATATATTATACACTGGCTAGAGGAAGCTTTGGTTTAGACAGCTTTATATGAGAAGACAATGTTCATCTTACAGTGTTTGCTTTTACTTTGTTTCAAAAGCTTAATTTGTATCTGATCTGCTCTAAACTACTTATTGTGTGTCAGGGTTGAAAACTGAATCTGATCCCAGATGTGTATTGTCGATAAGTCACGTGACTGTCTATGCAGACCCGGGATCACCTAAGCTCCTATGTTAATTTTTATTGATTAGTCTGCCATTTGGCTTCATTTTGGATCAAATATCTGTTGAAATTCCATGTTAACACATTAAAAGTGCCATGTAACTGTTTTTTTTTTCTCCATCTCTAACTTTTGTTTTTTGCTCTCCTCATTCGCTCTAACATGGAATTTCAATTCACTTTATGAACCTGGAAAGCATTTCGGTCTTAAAGTGTGCCGTTTCATGAGTGTAACAACTTGCAAATCATTTTGATGACCTCAGACACTGTAGACACTCTCAACCAATCACACACTGTCATCACAGCTCTGATAGTGTTTAAAGGTTATGATACAGATGCATTTTTTTACAGTCTATGTATGATTTGCTGAAATAAAAACTATATTGACCAATTTTGTCATCATCACAAGTGTTGCAGGACAAGAATCTGCGCAGAAAAGCTCTTGTTTCTTTTTGAGAGCGTTTCTGTTCTCTATTTCTGTTCTCATATTTGGGAAAAGAACGATACTGCTGAGGCTTGTATGTGTGCAGGAGGATTGGGGCCACTAAAAACAAAAGGGTAGCATAAGAACTGAAACAGAGAACAGAAACATTGTCAGGAATAAAGAAGTTGTGGTGGGGTTTTGTTTTGTTTGTTTGCATATTTGTTTTTACAGTTCTGACATCATCTTAGCTTTTCTAGCACACTCACAGAATTCTGGAAAACAGACCATAGGATAAGGTTCGGGAAAAGCCCGAATATATTGAATAAACCTGGAATATATTGAATCAACCTCAAATATATGAAATAAAAGTCTGAATATATTTTCTGTCCTGCGACAAAGAAATGGCTCTATATCGAAATTACTTTGGTGTGACTCCCCATCATGCATCAGGTTTTTTGACCTTTTCCTTAGATTAAAAAAACACAAAACCAAAAAAAAGTTTTAAAAAATTCTGAAAAAACTGGACAAGGGCAGTTTCAAACTGAAAGAACATACCATATCTTCCCCATTTCTGTTCTTAAATTTAGGAAAAGAAATGTGTTGCTGAAGATTGTGTGACGTTAGCGCAAGTCAAGTGAAACACCCAGTTGTTGAGCAATCTTTTCTGCAAAATATGTCCTGTTCTGCATTTTTCCTCATCATTATTCAGAGCAAAACTCCTTTTAAATTACTGTATGACTTCAGCTCAGTACATGGACACTAGGGAACACGCAACACACTGGAGTTGGTCTTCCTGTTAATTTAGTCAAGGTTGTAAGGATCTAGAAAGAAAACAAAATTAAAAAGCAAAAAAAAAAAGAGATTCATTACCCATTTATTACAAAATACTGGCTGCGCTTCACACACACACACACACACACACACACACACACACACACACACACACACACACATATATGTACATTGATCAGGGTGCCCATGCTGACTCGTGTCTACCACTAAAAGCACCAACAATGGGCTTGTCAGTATCAAAACTGGACCACGGATCAATGGAAGGTGACCTGGTCTGATGAATGACGTTCATCGTAACATAATTTACCTGGGGAACACTTGGTACCAGGATGCACTATGGGAAGAAGGCTAGTCAGCAGAGGCAGTGTGATGCCTTGGGCAATGGTCTGCAAGGGAACCTTTGGTCCTTTACTTTGACACGTACCGCCTACCTAAGTATTGATGCAGACTATGTTCACCCTTTCATGGAAATGGTTATCTATCGATCGATCGATCGATCGAGAGGGTTCATGTTTTTAAAGGGGAGATTATGCTCGAGGATTTTTTGAGAATTTGTTTTTTTTTCTCAGAATTCTGACATTAAATTCAGAATTGTGCCGCAGAATTATTTTTTCTCGGTAAGCTACGACCACGGCGAGCTACGACTTTTCTCAGAGTTATGAAAAAAAAAAAAAAGCCTGAACCAAATTGTTTTTTGTCCCCCCAGTAGCTTTAATCCTCCCTTGTAAGTGTGGTAAAAAACACACCGCATTCATTCATTCACCAGTTCATTATTTCTCCACATTTTAAGCAGCACAGCTACTTTTGGATGATGTCATAAACAATAAAAGGACACAACATGTGCCATAAAGTGTTTATCCAGGACATGAGAGAGAGCCAACAGCTGTCAAGAGTGACACACACAATGCACTACTGCATTATGTAGGAGAGAAACAGGTGAATGTTTCATGAGTCACATCACACCCACATTATGCACACATGCACACATGCATACATGCAGAACATAAAACAAATAAACATGTAGAGAGGAGTGTGTAGAATAAATGGAGCTGAAATTTGAAACTATTGATCTGTAAAAGTTAGTTTCACTGGTTGTGCTCTGAGAATAATTGTCCATATTTTATTCAATGCAGCTCAGTGTACACAGGCCGGAGTAACTTACGATGGGTAATAGTGTGCGTGTGTGTGTGTATGTGTTGGCACAGGGCCTGTCAGCAGCTCCAGACAGGAAAGTCACTGGGTAAATATCAAATGTTCATTTTCACACACTCTCCGTGCTTTTATGTGCTGACCATAGAAATGCGGCGAGATACCATCTCTGTGGTCCACTTCCTTACACTAGAGTCTGCGGTTGGAGAAGGTCCAACAATAAAAAGTGGACTGCCTGTGTGTGGGGAGACAGGATGACTGAGAGCTGACGGGAAAAGCCTCAAATTGCAGGAAGCACTTTTGATGTTCGGAAATCAGGTTTCTTGGATAAGTAATACTCTGTAACATTTTTTTTGTGATGAGCTATTGTTATTGTGCAAATTATAATCACCCACCAGGGTTATATTGGTTATATCTCAATTTTATAACCATTTTAGGTTATGTGGAGGTCTTTTAACCTATCAGTTGAGCAAGTTGCAAAATCCTGTAAATTTCTTAGACTAAGGAAGGACTTCTCTTTATTACTGTAAATGAATGATTTGCAGGGTTTGCTTTATTTTACAGTCTTTCAGTGGCTTGAATGAAATCACACCTCCAGGATCTAAAGTTACATCTTTTTCCAAGTTGGAAACTCAAATGGGATTAATTTTGAAGGGGACATTGTGCTCATCTCCATATTGCATGATTCGCAGCCTTACCTTGTAAGGTTTATTTTTGAAGTGTTTATTTTAGGCAACCATATAAGGCATTGCCTCTCACTGACATCACACATAGCCAAGAGTGGAAAAAATGCTCTGAAACTGAGAGAGCAGTCTGAAAGCAGGGCTTTTGGTTCATAGCAATTATGTAAAGCTCCTGCATAAAACTACATATATGAATAAGTTCAAATAAATAATAAGGTAGTTAAGTGTGATATGTCAATGATGGTTATGATCTTTTGCTCTCTGTATGTTTTTTAATAGTCCTACTCTGTGTTCATTTCTACAGTGGTATTGTAGGGTACTCTTCTTTGTTTGCATACGAAATGGGATCAACTGGAAATACCTGAGTTGAGCTTTCAGGGCAAGCTGCTGAGGAGGCAGTATAGCTCAGCTTAATGGTTAAATCACTGTTGTTCATCACATACTCTGGAAGACACACACACACACACACACGTATATACTGTGCCTGAGTCAGTGTCCACATCAGAGAGGAGCAATACAAGTTTAATCTTATCTTGACAAGACACAAATGAACAACTACAGGCTGATCTCAAATCTCCCGTTTTTAAGTAAGATCATTGAAAAAGCAGTTTCCCAACAGCTCAGTTACTTCTTAAAACAGAATAAGTGCTACGATGCCTTCCAGTCAGGTTTTAGACAGAACCACAGCACTGAAACCGCTCTGACCAAAGTGTTTAATGACATATGTCTGAATACAGACAGTGGAAAAATGTCAGTCCTAGTTTTACTGGATCTCAGTGCAGCATTTGATACAGTTGACCACAACATATTACTCAAACGACTGGAGAACTGGACAGGTCTTTCAGGAACTGTACTAAACTGTTTCAAAACATACGTAGAAAACAGGAAATACTTTGTATCAATAGGTAACTTCACATCTGAGCAGACAAGTATCACATGTGGAGTTCCCCAAGGTTCCATCTTGGGACCCCTTCTGTTTAACATCTACATGCTCCCACTGGCACAGATTATAAACAACAACAAAATAAACTATCACAGCTATGCAGATGACACACAAATATATATCACAATGTCACCAGGAGACCGAGGCCCTGTACAGGCTCTTGGTAAATGCATTGAGGAAATCAATGACTGGTTGTGCCACAATTTTCTCCAGCTAAACAAAAACAAAACTGAGGTAATAGTCTTTGGCGCCAAAGAAAAACGATTACAGGTCACCAGAGAACTTCAATCTATACATCTAAAAACCACAAACCAGGCGAGAAATTTGGGTGTAGTGATGGATGCAGACCTAAACTTAGAAAAACACATTAAGACAATAACAAAGTCAGCTTACTATCACCTCAAGAATATATCAAGGATAAAAGATCTGATGTCTCAACAGGACCTGGAAAAACTAGTCCATGCATTCATCTTTAGTAGGCTTGATTACTGTAACAGCATCTTTACAGGTCTACCTAAAAAATCAGTCAGACAACTACAGCTCATTCAGAACTCTGCTGCTCGAGTCCTCACTAAGACCAAAAAAGTGGAATCAGAATCAGAATCAGAATCAGAATACTTTATTGATCCCTGGGGGAAATTATTTTTTGTTACAGTGCTCCATTTTAAACCAACATTAAGACAAGACAGACAATACGCTAACTAAGAATAGTACAATATATACATATATATACATACATACATACATAAGTCACTTATAAATAAATATTTGGAAAAGAAACGTGTAGTTGTAGCAGCAAACAGTGTGTTAAGTGGATGCGTTGTACAGGGAGATGGCCACAGGCAGGAATGATTTCCTGTGTCGTTCAGTGGTGCTTTTCGGTAATCTCAGTCTCTCACTGAACGAGCTCCTGTGACTGACCAGCATGTCATGGAGTGGGTGGGAGCTGTTATCCAACATTGTCTTTATCTTGGACAGCATCCGCCTCTCCGACACCACCTTGAGGGAGTCCAGCTCCATCCCCACAACATTGCTGGCCTTACGGATCAGTTTATTAAGTCTGTTGGCATCTGCGACCCTCAGCCTGCTCCCCCAGCATGCAACAGCATAGAGGATCGCACTGGCCACAACAGACTCATAGAAAATCCTCAGCATTTTCTGGCAGATGTTGAAGGACCTCAGTCGCCTCAAAAAATAGAGACGACTCTGGCCCTTCCTGTAAAGTGCTGTGGTGTTTTTAGCCCAGTCCAGTTTATTGTCAATGTGTACTCCAAGGTATTTATAGTCCTCCACAATGTCAACACTGACCCCCTGGATTGAAACAGGGGTCAAGTGTTTCCTGGTCTTCCTGAAGTCCACGATCAGTTCCTTGGTCTTTGCCACGTTGAGCTGCAGATGATTCTGCTCACACCAC